TGATAATGCTTATATGTTATAATTTAATACTAAAACATACAAATATGGTCCACATGACATTTAAATACCAAAAACCTATAATGAAGTAAATCGTGAAAACCGTTTCGGTCTAAAAAAAGACTAGAATAATAAACAGACAGCTAACTGCAGATAAGAACACAAAACAGAACGTGTTTCTGCGTGTTTATTCTAACTAAAAAATTATAACGAATTTTCCAAGTTTTTTGTTTTAGTAATTCACGAATATTATCGCTTTGTCCGTCTATTTTGGATATCTTTCCAATTGTTGTGATTAAGTTTCGATGTTTTGAAATTTCAGGTAGCTATGTAAATATTTAAATTAAATATCACTTCGCGATCTCATGTTGAAAAATAAGTTATTCATAACTGTCTAAGGGGATACATATTCGCAAAGAAGGCAATTATTGCCTTTATTACTCGAGATTTCATTAAATCAAATCTGTAATTTTCTTTTGTGTTCTCTACAAACGCTTGGTTTTTAATAAAAATAATAAAACTCCATACAAGCAATTTCCTATTGCAATTCACTAATAATTCCTTCTTTACTTAATTAATAAAGTTATCTACATCTGTCATATATTTATATACGAAATATTACAATATATTTGCTAAATCTATCTAAAACATTCATAATCAACAATATATTTATCAAGACCGACTAATTTCAGTTAGAAAATGGGTCAATTTAATCTAAGCGTGGCAACTATGGATTATATGTCTATACTTAGTATAAATACTGTCTATATTTTTATATTATGCATTTCTAGTCAATCAAGGTTTTTAGGTCTTGGTACATTTTAAAAATCAATAGATAAAAAATCGGTGGATTCCATATTAAAAGAATACAATTTTAAAAAATATATATTATGTTGATTATATTTACGTTGTGCGTCTTAGTAGGTAGGTGTTTGAAATGTTTGGACGTTTAAAGTGTGAAATTTTAATAAGAAAAAATAGGAAAAATCACGGTAAGGCGGCATTTCTTTAAGAACGCCGACAAAGAGAATATTTATCAAATTGTATACTTATATTTTAGCATTCTACTTTGCTTTCATATTATAATAAACATTTAAGTTATAACGATTACAGAATTAAGGCAATAATAAATAAATATACTTGAATAACAATCATATTTTATCTATAAATCAATCTTTAATATATCTTATTGAGATATTATTATATAAAACAGTAATTAGACCAATCTTTCTAAACGGCTGCGAGACGTGGACGCTAACACTCAAAGAGGAGGTTTTAGTAGCAGAACGAAAAATACTGCGGATGATTCTGGGACCGACACAGAGAAAAGAAGGAAGCTGGCGGCCGCGAAGGAACGAGGAGCTCAAAAAGCTGTTTGTCGTCTCTAACATCATGGGAGAAGCTCGAGCTGAAAGACGCCGTGCAGCCTGACCAGGAAGAACTCGGTGTCTGCGAGTGGCGAACATTGTCGACGGAAGTGGTGTTCTCTTGTTGTGGAGGCCAAGGCCCACTTTGGTGTTTTTCGCCAGCAGAGTAAGTAAGTGAGATATTATTTTATATATGCCAACTTATTTAAAATACATATAATATTAACACACACCCCTCGGATTTATAACAACGTATTAGAATTATTACTTGTGTAATAATAGATTGTCAATAGTTACAAAAGTGCTGACTTCAGCCAAACATGATCCAATTGGAAGTGAAGTAAAACAGTGTATAAGACGTTTTGAAAAAAAAAAACACTCTGGCACAGACTTAGAAGTAAAACCATTTGGATAGTCAGTTTAACGTATCAAACTTCACAAAAACTATTACATACGTAATTCAAAGGACGCAGACATTTTAAATTTTTTTCGCGCGTTCTTTGTCGTAGGTGTCTTATAGACCTTCATTTTTTTGTTTGTGTCATATTATAAACAGACAACAGACAATATATAATTGAAAACAAAATAATAGGACGTCAAGTTTGGAAACTAGAGTTTCGCATTACAAAATATATTTTTTAGATGAGCCTGCAAATGTTTTTGGCAACAATTTGGGATCTGGCCTAATTGTAGACTATTTAAATTTTCCAAGATAGTATTTCGTACTACCACTTACTAATCTACATCTAAACTTTGGCAATTATTTTACTCATTTTGTAACCTAATTCACGTAACTTTCAGTCATCTAAAAAAGTTGTTTTTCGTTCTAATTTTTTATTCAAATGCTCTGTAAAATGGTTACTATATAAAAAAAAACTTTTAGTAATAAATATTTCTATACCTATAATATAAAATAGGATTAACTTGCATGTCGATACCACAGCTAATAAAACAATTCCCATGGCCTATATATTTCATTCTAAAATAAACTTTATAAATGTTTCTACTATATAAAACGTTTAGGTATATTGCAAAAATACATAACACAATAAAAATATAATTATGCATATGCCTACCTGTTTTAATTGGTAGTATAATACGGCCGACGTACTTGGCAATTCTGAACATAAGTTAGACGAACTTTGACGCATGTACACTTGTAAAGAAAACTAATACTGCCATTTATTTTCGTCACTGGAATAAATAAAAGATTTTACATGTAGCAAGCAAAAATAACATACCAATAATTGATTCAAAGAGAATAAGCGCTACGAACACTTATCTTCCACTAAAATAGTGAGACAAAACAAAAATATAACAAAAGAGAAATAATAGTAATTAACTTAAGAACAAACAATGACTTTTCTAACGGACTGCGCTCTAGACAGAGATAACGAAATAAACGCCAAGTAGTGACCGAAACACACTACTGTTTTTACGAACATTACCGAATATGTACGAAGCTTTACGAAATTACCAAATAAAGATGTTCATACGCGTTCCTTGAGAGTGTCGTTTAATCTATTCCTATTTAAATAGACAAAATTAGATCATAGTAATATATAAACATATTTATAAATAGTAATTATATAAATAAGACCTCATATTCAACTAAATTAAGATGTTCAATAAAGAAAAACAAGTTTTTAATAATTTAAATGTCCTTTTAAAGTAATTATGATGATGATATCGTTAATTAACAACACTATTCAATGTGATCATAAATCTATTTACAACAATATCGTATGGGATTAAAATACATAATCTAAATCGATAAAAATCGATTACGAAATTGGATAACATAAACGGTCGGTTGTGTTGACATTGAATCAATCTCTAGCCTAGATCCCCGTCCCGCGCACCTCGCTCTTACCACCGTTAGCATCTGGAACATTTTTGCGCAGCGTTCCGCGCTAAGTTCAGACTTGCAAAGTCACATCGGCCGTATTATACATTACTTTATTCCTTCGTGGCAAGTTTTTTAGTTAAGTAGTATAATTAAAAATCATTGAAGACATTTGAACTTTGGGTCATAGTTAAAATGTTAGTTAAAGTTGTTTTAACCAGTTAAAATTATTTCGTGTTGCTGTCAAATATCAAAACTGTATAAAATTTAATTCCTCTTTCAATTCTCTATGCAATTATGTCAAGATAAAAATTGGTGGTTGCGTATTTTATTTAATTAAGAAAATAACTTCAAAAAATTATCCAAGTACGTACGAACGTAAAGCATGGACAGCATGTAACGCTATATGGAACATGTGTTTTCATTTTGAGTAAAATAAGATAAATGTTATTCAGTACTTCTGACTTTTTCTTAATCGAGTTATATGACGTATCTTAGCATGACAACATGTCGTTCTGTATAGAGTTGTCGAGCAGAATGAGATGTTATCCATAAATACTGTCTATAGTTTACGCGAGTAGTACACATTTAAATAAAACACTTTAACGATTTAAAACGCGATATATTAGTTAAACTTATTTGAAAATGATTTTTAACTTCGGTCCGACGTTTCAGATGCTTTGCAGCAGTTTAACTAATATATCGCCGAGTTTAACTAATATATCGCGTTTTAAACCGTTAAAGTGTTTTATTTAAATGTTATCCATAATTTAAGTACATTTACCATTAGTTTTAGCAGAAAAGTCGGTTCTTACATGTATTTCAGTTTCTGTAAAGGGTACTTCAAAAACACCTGTAATATTTAATCGGTATCAGGATCTGTTGAAACACCTGTGCATTATGTATAACGCGAATGTATTAGTTAACTTATTTACAATTTATTTAACTACGGACCGACATTTCGGATATTTTACAGCAGCCATCGTTCCCCGAGTTAAATAATACGTTTCGCGTTTTAAACCGTTGAAAAGTGTTCATTTAAATACATCTGAATGCGTAACTGTAGAGGGAACATTTCTTTACATTACACTTATTTTCTAAAATTGTGAGGAGTCATTGAATTTCATTCTTTAATTAAGAAAATGTCAACTCATTTAGAATATTTTCTGTAACGGAAGAATAAAACATCGTTAATATTCAAATTGAAATATTTTTGTCGTTTTTGCTATTAAAATTTTTTTGCAGATACAATAATAAAAAGCTCATATCTAGAATTGAATCCGGCACCGCTCTGACTAAAGACTAATATGAAACACGCAGTTCTAAGCTAAATGAGGACCCTGTGTCAGTCGTGGACTGCGAGGCATATGCCTCCCCCCGGGACCACTATCTAAAGAATTTAGAATCTACGCTCTACGCACGTGAACACTTAGGCGTCCGCCTTATGTCACGATACGATCTTATAATACTTGAAGAATAATCCATTTACACTAAGAGATTGGCAGTTACCGTTAGTGATAGACGAAGGTAAGGGCTCATTGTTCTTACTAATACTCTGAATTATATACACAAGATACCGGGACAGCCCAGCTTAGGACACGGCCCTCAAGGAGAGCAATACACCGAACAAGAAATCTTTAATTAATAGATACACAGGACTCCGCGGCTCGAGCGTTCGTTTCGTTTTGAAGAGTTAATTTTAGGGTCGCGTTCGCCCTTGAGCGACAGCGAAAAGGCACGGAGTAGTGACGGCGGCTGCGACGCGGAGTGGTCAGCGCCGCCGCTCGACATCAGAGGGGGAAACAGCGCGCTGACCGCCGCGGCTCGCTGGCACCGCGCCGCTTGCGGTGCGCCACTGAGCTATCTTGATCAGCACCGCCACACAACCGTTCTGGCTCTATCGGCTCCAGTCTAAGCATCGACGGTCTACTCGCTATACGAACTAGACCAGACTGTGTGGACGCCGGTCTTTCTGGTGAGCCGTCTAAATCTATCCGTCCGAGACTCAGTGCTAATGCATATTCAGATCGCTCAATAACGCTAGGTTGCTCTTCAGCAGCAGTGGTATCAGCTTGCGTGGAATCCGCAGCCGCAGATTCTGCTCGTTCCAAGGCTGTCACGTATTTGCGAGTGTCAGTCGAAGATGGTGATGTAGTGGCAGTTGTTATGGCTCTTCGTTCCGGTGTTGCGAAAACTGAGTCCGAAGCCCAGCTACGTGATTCTGAAGTTTGACGCATAGTATCATCCATACTGCGTTGTGAAGTGCGACGGCTCGCTCGCGGACTCTCATCGTCGATTGCTCGGAAATCAAGATTACTCAAATCGAAGGGCCCGCCGCGTCTCTTTGAACTGTTTCTTTTAAATGATGGCCGATGCGAAGAAAAAGCTGCATCGTACAATTCGCAAATGCTCGTACGATCTGAATGCGGTTCTTCATAAAGCGTAAGATTACGCGTCTCCGTTGCATCAGATGGAGTCTCATCGCGGTAAGACGTGACTTCACTGCGTTCAGATATATCAAACGTAAAACGTGCTTCGAACTTATCAGGGCTGAGAAGTGGCGCCGATCGAGAGTAATCATTTGTAGATTGCTCTTGTATTTCTGATGGTATACGAATGTTGGTTCTACCAGGGGAGGTGCCATCCGAATCTGTTGAGCGATCAGACCGCGGCGCATGGTAATTATGACGTCTATTCAAGACTGGTTGTGAACCACAAGGTACGCGTCTGCAGCAAGTTCGCTCGTGTCTTACATCCGAACCACTGCTACCAGTTGACTTCGAATGCGGTGGACGACGAGGTCTATACTCTTCTCTACCATATAAGGATCTAAAATCTTCTGAGCAAAACTTTTCGAAGAGTTCCTGCGAGCTAAGTCGTGTGGAACCAGTGGCGTTATAAAAGGCCTCAGTAGGCGATCTATCTGCTCTCTCATACAGTGCACTAGAGCTTGCTCTTTTTGATTTATCAATAAGTCCCAATTTGTAAATTTTCGGTAAACGTCTTTCAAAAACTCCCTGCGAATGCGCTCTAGATGGGCCGCGGGGAGTTAAATGTTCTCGTTGATCGAGCACGCGGTCTGCTGAAGCACCACGTAGACGTGTGTCAGATGTATCATTAGGAGGAGAGGCGACAAACTCAGGTTCGAATTCTTCATCGGGCGTTTCAGCAGATGGGCCGGAACGCTCTAGCGATGCACGCTGGCATTCGCATTCGTGGTCGCTCGCGTCACCCTCGTCAAAGGAGGGAGCTCGGGGTCCGTGGCCGAAGACACGCCGCCGTTCTTCTGCCGCTCCATCATCATCTTCGAGGCGGATGGAGCGGCGTAGAGGGGGCCGATTCGACCGAGGCCTTCGAGGTGCTTCCATGGTGACGGCATGATGGAGTGGCGGTCGCACTGTGTTCGGCATCAAACGATCGAGAGACAGTCCGCGCCGTGGTCTCATGGGCCTCTGCTGGTTGGCTCGTGAGGCGACAGGCGGACTGGTCTCCTCGGGTGTGGTGGGCAGTGCCGGCCCACGCCCGAACTCTATGAACCAGAGCTCGTCTTTCAGCTCGCACTCTCACTTCTTCTCATTCATGTCTTTATTTAAATAGTGCAGCACATAGTGCAGAACTAGATCGTAGCAATATTTGTATTCAGTCTGAAAAGAAAAGATTGATTAATAATTAAGAAAGTGCTTTTTTTTTACTAAAATATGCTGTTGTTTACTAATGTACCATATTCTCGACAAGCTGCGGCCGATGTCGTCTAACAGTCTTGACGGCTTGAAATACATCCACTTCGCCGTGTTGTATAACTTGTTCTATGCACGCGTTCGCTGCACAGTAGACTCCAGCTCGACTTCGACCGTCACTGTAAAACAACCATTGTTGTAATGATGATTTAATAATAATAATATGTTTAAATGATTTATTTTTTACAATTTATAAATGTATTCCTACATATTAAATTATTGGCAGAAATATAGAAAGAATCGCAAACTAATAACGATATTCGTTCTTAGTTTGCGATTAGATTTTTTATGGCTGGCGTTACCTCCCCCCGTGAACGCCATGCTTGTGTGACCTCGACTATCCTTAAAAATTAAGCTAAGCTAAGCTTTATTAGAAAGCAATGTAAAAAATAGTTGACTTACGGCGACACAACACAGACCGGTCCGTAATCAGTCCTCTGCCTCCAGCGTTCCACCATATTCATGAGTTCGACGAGTGAATTCGTGGATGAAGGCACTTTGTGCCCCATCGGCCAACACGTGAGTTGGAAAAGCTGAACAGTCTTGGGTGGAGCTTTTACGCCTGCCATAAGCTCAGTTAGTGAGACGATCTGTAAGAAACAGCTTATTTTGAAACATTTTTCTATTTAAATGAAACACTTTAACGGTTTAAAACGCTATATATATTAGTTAAACTTGTTTAAACGTCGGAACGTAGTTAAATAATTTTAAAGTTAAACTATCGCGTTTTTAAACCGTTAAAATGTTTTATTTAAATGTGTACTACCGTGTAAACTACAGACAGCATATTTAACATTTTTCTAATCAATTTATAATCTTTCTGAATCATGCTGGACTTTGTCCGCAAAATAGGTGGTAGGAATATCGAAATGCTGTCCAGGTCACTGATCACTTGTTTTGGTTTCAGTCTGTGGATTAGAATGTTAAGTGGCTGCGGAATTTCTCCAAACATCATGATAAAAAGAAAAACTTTAATATTTTTGGAAATGGAAAATGCAAATGTACCAGTAGTTTAAAATGGCCTAAAAGTCCTATAAATCAAATTAAGCGATGACAATACTAAATTAAAAGTTAGCTTTACTCCAATAAAACAAAAACGTCCTCCAAAAACTAACTGAAAATAAAACAAGATAGACTTTGAATGGTCGCAAAAATCCCGACTCAAAAAAAATACTAGAAGCTAAGAGGGGTCTGCGCTACGTAGGCTAATAATAACTAATGGTGACTAGACAAGTATAGTGCAGATATTTTTCAAGTAGACATAATGAGTATAACTTATTACTAAATAGTAGAAGTAGAACTACTTTTTTTCTTGACCGCCTCTATAGCTATTTGGTTAAACGTGTTGCATAGCATTGCGTTAAGTGCCAGAGGTCCTCAGTTCCAATCCTGGGTAAACAATACATTGTTTTGGTCGGGCAGAAGTCGGGGCACAGAAGTTTGACTAACTTTTCTATAAAATAACCGATTAGTGAAACAAAATAAGAATAATATTAGCCCCATGCCCCACGAGGGCAAGTGGGGTTTTAAGTGTCTCCGAAAAGTGTGAATAGAAGAGAAGCGATAATCTAATTGACTGCTGACTTCCAGCTGTGCGTTAAAAATAGATCGAATGCCTGTTATCGCTAAATTATATAACAGTGTTTAAGATTAAAATTCATAACGATATAACGGTTTAAAACGCGACATATTAGTTAAACTTATGTAAAAATTAAATAAAACAGGAAGCAGCCGTGGTCACGGTGTTTAGATAATTTCTATAAATTTAACTCGTTTTAAACCGTCACAGTGTTTTACTTAAATATGTACTACTCGCGTAAACTACAGACAGTATCACATTGAGAAGTTAAAATCAATGTTAAATGGAACCGTGAATAATATTATTGGCTCAAGCCAAAGTGCCTTTATCCACTTACCTTCTTATTAATTCTGAATATCCAAGTTTTGATATTCGTATAATGGTTGTGCGAGACGTGATCTATTGTGAAGACGGGGCCGTATTTCTTTGAGTGCCGGCTTTCAGGCCAGAAAGGCGGAAATTGTTGCTGAAAGTACAACTTATAAAGTCAATAACGGATTGAATAAATCCTCGCATATTTTCGACCAAATAAAGCTATTATTAATAGGTGTTATTTATAATAAGCGTTATTCATAAGAGACGTTTCGTAATCACGAGTGGATGACGTCATCAGACGCGTTCTTCGACCAATAGTAAATTCTTAAATACGACAGACGAACACGTCGAAAACTAAGCATCTTTGCAAAATGGCCGCGCTTCATACAATTTACTTGACATGTCGAACATTATATTCAGTATTGTATTTCGTTGCTAATATTACTTTATTTAAGACGTGGTCAAAGTATTTATATATTTTTAGCAATAAAGAATCCAGGTTTGATGCTGGAAATTCACAAACTTAAAGTGTGTGTATATAAAGGCTAAAACAGGTAAAACAATTAAGGTAACAGGTAAAATTAATTAAGAAATGGTTCCTTCTAAGAAGCTGTGCCTGCGGCTTCAGCCGTATGGAATAGTTTTTTTGGCATCGAAATTTATTTTTGCAAGCAATCTTAACTTTATAAATAGCTGCTACCCAGGTAGCGTCCTGTCGTTCTTGCGAGTCGCGGATTTTTTAGCTTATTTAAAATAAATAATTATATCATAGATATTTTTTAGCTACTTGAATCGTTTTCGCAGCGTAGCCCTCAAAAATGTATTAATTTTCCCATTTTCCTTACATTCATCCACTATTTCTACGCTCCTATTGGTCGCAGCCTGGTGTTCTAAAGCCTTCTTTAATAAATAGTCCAACCAACAAAAGAAAGGTTTATTTCAATTCGAACCAGAAGTTTCCGAGATTTAGCGCGTTCGAACACACAAATCAACTTTTCCGCTTTCTATTACATATTAGTATAGATCGATGTCAGACTCACATACACGCTTTCAGCACACAGAATCATACAAGTTCGTCCAGTTTGCTTGTTGTGTATAAGGTTCTATAGCAAAAGTGCTCTTACCGAGTTTTTCGGTGGAACGCACAGCACAACAACAGCTGCACATTCGTAGTCATAGACGAGAGACCAAAACTCGCCCTGAGTACGTACTAACGGCCATTCAGTCACTATGTACTCACGAGGCTTCGTATAACCCTGAAACACACTGCTTTTACCAACAAGATATATACCTGGGTTGTTAAGTATATAGCCCCCAGCTGATTTCATATAAATTAAAAATATATTTAAAAAAATCGATGACACATGCGGGACTAACAGCGTTCTGAGCTCTAATTGAGCTACCCTATCCTACACGTTATAATCGACTTTCGGCGCTCAGCCAGTTTTGATTTCTTACACAAATTTAACTTTTTATTATTAAAATGTCTCACTTATAAATATATTTGTAACAGATACTTACGTCAACAAACACAGCGTTGATGTAATCCGTGAAGCTGTTCCCTTGAAATGATGTTAAATATGGTCGGAAATTATCAGCTGCAAATACCATTTACATTTTATTATTACATTCAGAACATTGTATGTATAAAAGCATTGATTTAGTTTTAATTAATAAAACACACTTTTAACAGGTTTTCATTTGTGGACGGTGGATCGTAACCCGAGCGGAACTTCGATATTCCTACTACATAATATCCAGATTTACAAACAAAGTCCACCATGTTTCGGAAGAATTAAAAATAAATTAGACACATGTTGGACTTGGTGGGGATCGAACCCACGACCTGTGGATTAGCCACTACACCAACAAGCCCGTTAAAAATCATTATCTTTCCTATTCTCCTCTGCTAAACAAAAACAAAGTACTCACGTGGAACGACCAGAACATCTCTATTTTTCTCCCTATTATCCCCCCTGTGTCCACCAGCGCAGTCGCCGATTGTGAATCGCGGCGTTTGCTTGCAAATCTGTTGGTATTCTTTCTGATACTCGTTCAGCTTAGTCACCGGGTCCCGTTGCGACTTTTGCTTTAGCCTCTGTGACAGTTCCGAGACAGGAAACCAACTAACGCCACACACAACGTGCTCCTCTAAAGTGTCGTAGACAAATTTGTATTGTTCCTGAAAGAATGTACGTTTTATTAATTCATATATATGTTTCAAAATTTGATATATATAATATTTTCAAACGATGAACTCGTTAATTTCTTCAATGATTTTCGTAAGCTGAAAACCTTGTAAAATTACATTGCGCAAGCGGTGCATGGCACAATAAGTTGAAAAATTCGCCAATTACGTGTTTCTAATAAAAAAAAAAAATTATAACATGTCTGACTTAGTCTGTAAATCTGGATATTATGTAGTAGCAATATCGAAATTCCTCTCGGCTCACAAACCACAATCCCAAAACAAATGAAAAATGCGCGGAGTTTTAACGCGTTTCGTTTACAGTTTCAGCACATATTGTTTACATGATATATGTCTGGGGTATGTCACCTTCCATCGAGTGAATCCCATGGTTGTTTGTTCTGTTTTATAAAAAAAAAAGGGAAGTGTATAGTGGAGACATTTATGAATGAAGCATTACATTTCGTTCGTCTGAACATGGAACATGATATATAAAGTGTGATGGAGTATAAAATATATTTATTTGATTAACGATATCTCATCTAAATTTAAAATAACACGGATTATTGTCTATAGTCGACTTTGAAACTTGGCGCAACATGAGCCGTGTTTTACTGACATAAAATGTCAAATGTCAATTAAAAAAACAACAATTGTACAGATAATAAAGTAATTACCCTAAAATATATATTCTGTTAAAAGTTGTCAAGCTGACAATGTACTTGTATGGTCCTTAATATTTTCATGATATCGTAAGATTAAGTTCAGCTTACCTCATTTTCAATAAGCCCTTTCCTAGATTGTCGTAGCTTTTTCAAATATCCAAAAACGTCGAAACAGTCTTCTTCTTCCGCTAATTCTAAATTGGCATCGACGGCCAAATAAACCCCCGATCGTCCACCGCCGTCGCTGGAAAATAGAAATTTTGTTAAGAGAGCTTTAATGACCTTCTTAGTTGCTTCTTAGTTTGGCTTTTCCATTCTAAATGGATTCTCATGTCATGTCAGTGTCTATGGAAGGAATGACAAGGCGCGATTTTTTTACCACTGGCATTAAGAAGAATCGCGGCATGTAAAATTTTGTACCTACTCGTTTGTTTATTTTAACTCTAGCTGTGTCAGCAACTTTGACCGCGAGGATCGTTACAAATAGCGCCTCTACACTTTTTTTAGATCATTTAATTAGTAATCATTCTTTCATACATATTTTTCTTCCGTTCTTGCAGCGTACGCCTAGGAAACCCATAATGAATAATTTACCCCGTTTCTTCCACATTACCCGCTGTCTCTTCGCCTCTATTAGTCACATCGAGATGTGTCATCCTCGATAAATGCTCTAACCAAAAACGATTTTTCAATTCGAACCAGTAGTTTCTGAGATCAGAGCGTTCAAACAAACAAACAAACTCTTCAGCTTGACAAAACTTATTCTTCATAATGTCAGATTAATCTTATTTTACCATAAATTTCTATAATATAAAAAGAAAAATAAATTGACTTACTACAAACTAATTCGTAATTCATTGTATACTCGTAAATAGAAATGATTATTTATTATTACCAAATTCGAAATGTCTTAAGAGTTTTAAAAATTTAAAACTCTTAAGACATTTTCCTTAGCTTTTAGTGAGATACATTTTGACTAAAATAAGTCTGATATTGCTATAGGTAGTGAAATAATTCTTCATTTAAATAAAGTGTCCCAACTTTTCGCCGAAGTAAAAGTTGAATATTAAATCCTAAGTTAACAACAAATCGTTTTATATCATAGCTAGCTGAACCTGCAAACGTTGTTTTGTTGTTTGCATGTTTAATATTATTATGTTGATACATCTCTAACACGTACCATAGACATTGTTCTTGTGTGTTAACCTTAAGAGACAGACATATGCTGTCGCAGAGATTCCCTAGATCATTTAAAGAGGAATCATTCGTGATTTTTGCAGGGCACGCAACGGAAGCCCTCAAAGATAACAAGAAGATGATAATTTTCGCCATCTTTCCGTATTTTTCGCTGTTTTTTTGCTTCTATTCGCTTCTATTAGTCGTTCTGGAGATTAGCGCGTTCAAACAAACTCTTCAGCTTTATACTTTTACTATAGATTTTAAATATGCCATCAGCACAGTTGAAGTCGGCACATTCCCATATTCCATAAAAAGTGCCATTAAATATCAATCTGAATAAATATTAGTAGAGGACATTTTCCCTGGCAATAACTATAAAACCCGGGTATTTTATTTCCCGTTATATTCAATGTTTTCGGGTCCGAAGCTTAATGACCTTGTTTTATTCGTTCCAAAATTGAAATCGTTCGCGAAAAGTAGGTCAACATGTCAAACTACTTGTTTTATCATTAAGAATGTGTTTTTGATGAATGGGCCAATGCAACAGTGGAACAATACTGGCGAATTGTTGAGTTATCTGATCGATACTAATTGTGATTCAACAATTATTCGTGTTCAGACAATGTTAACTTTAGGTTGAAAGCTCTTCTTTTGTTTGTATGAGGTAGATTGAATTGTATGGTTGTTATTGATAGTATTGTCAGTTATTATCTTTAGACGTTACGTAAAGTTAACGACATTATAATTGGGAAGGGCGTACAGAATAAGCATATTTGATAAATTTAAAGAAACACTTTTAACAGTTTAAATTGCGGAATACATTCATTAACTTATTTACAATTTATTTCAACCCCATGTCCCTGGAGACCATGGCGGTTGCAAAGTGTTCAAAACGTTGGGCCGTAGATAAGAATATTTTGAAAATAAATTTAACTACTATATTTCGAGTTTTAAACCGTTAAAAGTTACTTATTACAATGTTACATACTAGCTACTAGAGTAAACGACAGACAGTACGTATTTTTTTATTTATTTTTTAACGTCATTGTATTATGCATAAAACATGCTCAAATTTTAATCACTTATTTTAAGACATTTTGTTTATTCTCGTCACTTTTTCATTCATAACTGTGATTTACTTTATTTAGGCTATTTAAACCCAGATAATCTCACTTTATTTTGTTTTTAAACTTCCAATTTAAATTAAAAATTGCATTTTGTGGCCAGACATAAATATTGGTTTTATAAAAATTTTCTTACTTTTGTCTTTGCAGTCGACAGAAGTTTTGTTTGTGTGATATATGAGTGTGTTAAGACTTACTTGCAATGAACTACCATTGGACCAGTGCCAGTGCTAGCTACCAATCTCCTTCCTACTACAGCCCTGACTCTCCTTCTGAACTCTAATAGCGCATTTCCGAATGGGCAAGAGTGCGAGTGCCACTGTGTATAATGGAATTGTAGTAAAAAACGTTCTTCTATCACCACCTAGAACATTACAATCAGTTAAAAAAAATGAATAAGGAAATTTTAATACTTCGAAGATGTTTAGAAACACGTGTAAAAAATCTTTATTTGAATTTTAGCATGACAATGTGTCAGACTTTCACGGCCATTGTTCAGCTTATCATTGTTTTTCGGGCTGTTTGGCCGACGTAAGCAGGATGAGGTTCTGAGCGGACGGTATCAACAGATGTTAGCTCCTCGATTGCTCGAAGAATTCTTCTCGCTTACATCGGCCGAACACCCCGAAAAACAATGATACACCAATAAATATATTTTCTCTACAAGCGAGTTCAATTGTGTTTATTTTTATCGACCTAATTACAAAAAATATAAGATTGCACTATATACATAAAAACGATAAAGTTTGTCCACTAACACGAAGTTTATGTAAAGTGTGTAGTATTATACAAATTTAATTATAAGCCTAATCTAATTATGAGAACAAATAACTAAACGAATTGTTAAGTAGTGTAATAAACCATAAACTAGATAGTACGAACATAAGGAAAACACACTAATGATTTCATTAAAATTTCACTGCTTGGCTTAAGCGCGTTTGAATGTTGAACTTATAGCGGCCCACATTGAAATGGAACTGTAGCAATTCAAAATGGACACTCAGAGGCAGAAATGAATGGAATTATAAGAAAAATATAACGAGCTTGTCTCAGATTTTGAGAAATATAAACGAGCGAGACTAGATGACTTTTTACCATTAAACGTGGTGATTTGTGCTAAAATAAGGTCACCACGTTTAAAACGATTTTATATTGACACGGACTTGAACCGGCATTCACAGCGTTTTGTGCTGATGCTCTAACCAATTGAGCTACCGTGTCACACGATGTAATCGCTTTTTAATTTTTATAAAGCCATCATGTGCAATAAAATGTGAAAAAATATAAGTTTTCAACGTTTACACTTTTAATAATCATTTTAACAGACCGTAATATTGTGAAAAACACTTAATCATTTTCACAATTTTTCTTAAAAGAAAATCGTGTTTGACTGACGTTCAAAATTAAAATGTCGCAAAAGTTTTCCTTTTAATCAACATTGGCTCGAAGGAGATTCGGAAACGAATCAATATTCTTAATTACTTTCCTTGTTTTATAAAAGCTGTTAGATTCTAATGTAAGTAGTAATTGGCGAAAACATCGATATGTCGGATTCTGAATACAGGAACGTCACGCTAAGATTGTCTTGGGACGATGACAAGACAACTGTCAGCGGCGGCTAGTAACGACTGGATTTTGAACTGGACGATCGTGCGGATGTGCGTTGGCACGTTCTACGACTTCACTTTATTTTGGTTTAGACCCCCATGACTTAGGTGGACCACTTTTTCAAGTGTTTAAAAAAATATAATAAACACATTTTAGTTACAGTGCATTTACGTATATAAAAAATATATATATAGGTACATTACTTGTATCTTTTGTTATTAAAATTAAATTATAAGTTCTAGACTTGACCACGACCCTCTTGGGGCCAACGGTGGGTCCGCTCTGGGTAACACTTTAAAACGCGATGTATATTAGTAAACTTATATTAATTGCGACCCGACGTTTCGGATCCTTTTCGGAAGCTTAACTAATATATATCGCGTTTTAACCGTTAAAGTATACTACGCGCTTGAACTATAGACAGTAAATACTTACACTCTTATCGGTTTTATAAAGCCGAAAGGTTCGTATGTGAAAATTCGCTAACTCTTCTTCTTGGACTATTCCTACGCTGATATCGCCGTAAGATTCGTCCTTTTCTTTACTGGCCGGCCAATACTGGACACACATCACCTGTCAAAAGAAATAGATACATGTGTTACTAGCTGTGCCTGCGACTGTCCGCATATAAAATAGTTCTTTTGGGAATCAAGATTTATTTTTGCAAACTTTCTCATCTACGTAACTTTTAACTGTTACATTTCCTAATTATAATTTGTCAATTCGAACCAGTAGTTCCTGAGATTAGCGCGTTTAAACATACATACAAACAAACAAACTCTTCAGCTTTATATATTAGTGTAGATGTAGGGACTAATTAATGTTTGAGTGAAATGCGATTTTGTTTTAATTTTCTATCATAAATTTTACATGATTTAGATACCAGTGAAACAGTCAAATAAAGAAAAATCGAAAACATAAAGTAGAATTAGGTATGAGTTAGTAGGATTCAGATGGAAAAAGGCCTCGCCTTCAGCATAGTAATGCAGAAGGCGCTATCCTGATTTTCAGGTGGACCCTAGGTGTTGACCGCCTCTGTAGCCAAATGGTTATATGTATTGCCTATCATTGCGTTAAGCGCGAGAAGTCCTAGGTTCGAATCCCAAGGAAACATAAAATTGTTTCAGTCGGGCAGGGCACAGAAGTCTGATCAACTACTTGCCAGTTAAAGATCGGATCAGTGAAACGGACACAGAAATGTGTTTGCCCCATGCCCCACGAGAGGGAAACACTAGGGCTGTTGACGTGTGACGTCTCATTACAATTTCGATTTTGTCGCTAAAAGTTTTAAAGTAAAATTAAGTCTATAATGTTTCAGCAATTATTAAAATTTTAAAGGATGGAGTATTTTAAAATGGTTTTTCTCTAGTAGCCTCAATTTGTGTTGACATTGAAACATTATTTTAATAGAATTACTTTCCGCTGTGTTATGTAACGTTACGTAACCATGGTGACCGAATTACATTCAAAGCAAGCCAAGTGCAAACGGCGAAGTTGCAACCGGTGCCAAAATGTAACCCGCGTCTGTTATCATAGTCGCCATTGGGTTTTATGGGCCATGAAAATACTGCCTCAGGCGACAGGGTCAGGGATAATGTTGATGCTGTGTTATTACAAGAGAACTCTTTCAGCTCCGTCATATTGAGAAAACGTAGAAATTGTTTATTTTTACAAATTACATTGTATGTATGCTTATTAATATATCTTCGTTTGAGCGAAACATTATGTTAGGTAAGGTAAACAAGTACATAGTAATACTTATTGCTTCATGTTAGGTTCTTGAAACTCTTGGTTAAAGATTGCAAAAATGTTACGTTACAGTGAATACTTATTTAAATAAAATTTTACGGTTTAAAATGCGAAATTTATTGGTTTAATTATTTTTAATTTACTTTGCAACAAAAGTTAATTAATATATTTCGCGTTATAACGAGTATCATGTGTATTAAAATTTATACAACTTGCGTACACTACGGAAGTTAAAAGTGGTTTATTTATTCATTGATTTCCTAAGTTGACTTAATGGTTACAGTATTTTCTTTTAGTTACAGGCTTACACTGACGTATCGGAAACTATTTATTATACTTCCTGGGATTCAAACCCAAACCTTCCACCGACCTTTCCACTTCTGACCATTGAGTCACGGAGTAATACAAAATTACAACTAATACCCTCAGTTAGTAATCCTTCTGTAGATAATTAACACAACACAGACGGCGTGTTATTTGCACAGAGCTTAGTTTAATTATTTGAAGCTCCCGAGTTAGTGTTGAGAGCAGATTGTGTATCCAACACACAATATGATTCCTGTTGGTACCAAATGCCAATAGCTACAAATTAATAACGCATTTATCTTTACTAATATATGAAGCTGAAGAGTTAGTTAGTTGGAACGCGCTAATCTCAGGATAAATCTATGGATGTATTATGTGGAAAACGCGGGAACGCATTGTATCAACATAGTGTCTGGAATAGTAAAAGCGCGAAAGGTCCTGGGTTTGAATATTGAAGTCTGATCAATGTGGCTGAAATATCTTATATCACATTGGGGTAAGTTTTACTACGATAGATGTCGCTTTCGTAGCTATAAAGGCCGCTATCTTCTCACTTAGTATAATTATTATTTTCTATTATTTGTGTCCTATTTATTGATTTATGCATGCTATAGTAAAATGTTTTATTAAATAGAGTTTTAATTTAAACCTTTCATAAATGACGTACATGCTAGAAACGATATTTTTTTAAATTCGTGGGTAGTTTTATCAATGGTTCACGCGAGTATTACACATTTTTGACGGTTTAAAACGATAAATAAGTATATTAGTTAACTTGATTTTGACTCCCTCCTTAGCTACGGCGTCTGTAGAACATCTTAAACGTGATGCCATAGTGAAAATAAGTTAATATGTTCGCGTTCGAAAACCAAGTATAAAATTTATCTTTGACACGATTTATTTACTAAATTGTATTGAGAAAAGAAAGAAACAGATACAAATATACAGAACAAAAAAAACTTAACCATTAACTAATAGACTACACCGCAGTTAAAAAAGCCAAGTTTTATCGCGTTTCGACTTAAGTCTGTGTATTCCCGAGTATGCAAAGCCGAAAAATAGCTCCACAGTGCTTCTTGATATCTTCACCTACATCAAGATAATCCCATGCTTGCATCATTAAAAAAATCTAAGTTTCACTTATTTAAACATGCTTGATGTAAGTATAACCAATCTAAAACTTACCTTAATAAAGTCAAAAGTCTTCGTAAGCATAACGATGGCGGCAGCTCTTTCTTGCCAAATCATCCGCCAAAACGATACCACTGTTTCTTCCGTTGGCCCCTGAGTCACTATGTATGCATTTGGTTTTAATATACTCTGTGGACAATAGAGAGATAAAAAAATAATATAAATCGAATCGAAATAATTATTTATTTGTTGTGTTTGGTGAAATGCGTTGCCTAGTATTGCGTAAAGCACTAGAGGTCCTGGATACGAATATTTTTCATTCGGGCAGAGGACAGAAGCCTGATATACTTGCCTGTAAAGAACCAATCATTGAAACAGACACAATAATGTGTACGCAAAGTGCTCTACGGTAATTGGGATTTCACTTTTTATAGCATCTATTACCAAACAATCTATTACTTTTTTTTGCCTGCCAGCATCAACTTACGTTTTTAAACACAATCACAGATATTTTAATATTATACATATATGATTTTGCTAATGCAAGAAGAAGAGAAATTATTTGAATTATGTTAGAAAAGACGTTTAAATTAATTATTAAGTTTATGTTTTATTTTAGTAGTATTTTACACGAGTAGTACACAATTAAACAAAACACTTTAACGGTTTAAAACGCAATATATTTTAGTTAAACGTGGGCACCGGGAGACATCTCCCCGTGACCATTACTGCTGCAAAGCATCCGAAACGTCGGGCCGAGGTTAAAATAATTTTTAAATAAGCTTAACTAATATATATCGCGTTTTAAACCTTTAAAGTGTTTTATTCAAATTCACTAAATTGATATTTTTATATTCGCTCAACGTTCTCAAAGCCCCACGTGTTTTACACGCATTATTATTTTTATATATGTATTAGTACAATTTATATATAAAGCTGAAGAGTTTGTTTGTTTCTTTGAACGCGCTAATCTCAGGAACTGCGGGTTAGAATTGAAAAATTCTTGTGTTGGTTAGAGCATTTATCGAGGAAGGCTATAGGCTATAAATCATTGCCCTGTGATTAGTACAAGTGAGGTTTCAGCGAGAAATGTGAAAAAAATTGGAAACATTATTCACCGATATAGGTTACCGCGGCGTAGGCTTCAAAACGCTCCAAGAAATCCAAAAAATATGTATGATTCCTCTTTAAATGATCTAAAAAAAAGTCAGCGACGCTATGTCTATCTTTTAAGATCAGCTTGCAAGAACGACGAGAAGGGATGCGACCGACGTCGTGGCTAACACAGCTTAAGTTTATAAAAACGACGGGGTTTGCAAAAACGAATTTGGATATCCAAAATAACGATTCTCGCGGACGAAGTCGGCGGCACAGCTAGGAGCATAATAAAGGTAGTGTTAATCTTTGTTACTATCGCATTTCTTCCTAAGGTCATAAACGAGTCATAACAGCGGTCAAAACAACGCAATATCAAATGTAATATTCCAATATACACGTGAATTACGGACACTAACTTCGTAATAAAGTAATCAAGCACCCATAAAAGTGAAACAAGTATTGTCCCAAATACGAAGTGTAGGGATGTTGTTGGGCACGGCTCATTACAGGGCTTTTATAAGACAATCGTAAGGCTGTGGCTTGATATCGACGCTATACTGGTCACTTGAATATAGACCACGTCCCGCCGGTCGATTACTGGTGGCCCGCTGACAGCCAAAATAATACTCAAATGAATAAATTATTTTTTAATTTTAATACATTATTATCAATTTTTTTAATGTCTTGTAATTGCCTATACTTCTATGGAAATGTAATATTGTAGTCTCCTTTAAATATGCGCATGCGACACTTGTAGGTGGTATACAACGGTTTTTTCTCCCCTTCTAGGACAGAAAAAGACGCGACATTGAGGGGACACATTTCTATGCCTGTTTCTATAATCAACTTTTGTATATAACAATAGGAAATGAACACTAAAATTAGACTATTGTGGTATACCCACCCGAAGTCACTTTTTATAGTTACCCAGGAGTCGAACCCAGTACGCAAGGTAGATTAACTCAATACGAGGTAATACCTTGACCTATTTACCATTCAATTTTCTTTAACTTCTATCGCTCGCAGCGTCATGCTTTATAAATGCTTTAACCAACACAAACAGATTTATTTAATTCGAAGCAGTAGTTCCTGAGATTAGCGCGTTCAAACAAACAAACTCTTCAAATTTATATAAGGTTAAAAAAGTCCTAATCCTCGTAATGTTTACGCAGCGAACATAGTATTAAACGGCGTTTATAGGCGACCGGGGCCTTAGACGGCGGTAATAAAAGCGAATGGGTCGATTCTTTCCGTTAGATCAGCAGAGTGGTTTCCGTGATATTGGGGTCCTGAGGGCCAGCGACCGTAAGTAGTCTTGTCACGTTCTGTTTCTCGACGGAGTTAAGGCTACAGTATTGTGCTCAGTAAATAATTATATATTAGGTACTTGTGAAACTTTGTAACTGGAGTCTTTTTATTTTCAGTGCTGTGTACGAGTGTGACTTTCAGCTTTAATTAAAATCTTTAGACTATTTTGAGGGCTCGTTAGTGCAATGGTAGCAATGGAGGACTAATAATCAACGGCCGTGCATTCGATTCTCACCAGGTCCAAGATACGGTCTATAGTTAACGCGAGTAGTACACATTTAATTCAAACACTTCAACAGTTTAAAACGATCCGAAAAGCATCCGAAACGTCGGGCCGAGGTTAAAAATCATTTTCATATAAGTTTAACTAATATATCGCGTTTTAAACCGTTAAAGTGTTTTATTCAAACAGGGCCAAGATGTTTCAAATTTTTCACTTTAAAATTTTTTTGAAACATGTGAGACTTTGTCTGGAAATCTGGATATTAAATGCGTGGTGGGAATATTGAATTTCCGTCCGAGTCACGAACCGCCGTCGACGAATGAAAAGCCGTGAAGTTTAATCGCATTTAGAGAGGAGTTGAGTGAGACATTTAACTCATCGACAATGCTTTTCAATTTTCGAATATCCAAAGCCAAAAAGGGTCGACAGCACATCTTGTTTAGACGCGGGTATTTCACATCCCATCAGGTGAATCCCACGCTCATCTGTCCTCCCCTATATCACAACAAATGATTTTAAAAATTACAGACGCTGAAGTATTTTGATCGCTGTAATTTTAAAAATTTGCATAGACTTTTTGCAAATTATTACTTGAAAAATAAATGTGTCTACTCGCGTAAACTATAGACAGTTTTAATAATAGTATCTCTGTAATCACTGCAAACTGTAACGTCGTTTTTTCTGTCCCTATGTAGGCTTAAACTTTTAAAACTACGCAACGGATTTTGATGGTTAAATAAAACACTTTAACGGTTTAAAACGCGACATATTAGTTAAACTTATTTGAAAATGATTTTTAACTTCGGCCCGACGGATGCTTAGCAGCAGCCGTGGTCACGGGAAGATTAATATATCGCGTTTTAAACCGTTAAAGTGTTTTATTTAAATGTGTACTACTCGCGTAAACTATAGACAGGATTTTAATGTGTTTTTTTAATAGATAGAGTGATTTGAGAGGAAGGTTTTTATACACAATTGTCACAGATTTCCAGTAGTGACTAGTAAATTAAATAAAAACACTGCTTTTCCACTTACATCTATATAGGAAGCGTTTATGTAATCGGAGTCCGGCTCACGATCAACTGTTTGTAGCACCACTCGATTGTAGTCGTCTGAAACAACGAAAATATTATTAATATATGAGGCTGCTAGAGACAGAGTGGCCTAATAACAAAAACATGATTTTCAATATGGAGGACAATAAAATGCGCAATTCATAATTTAGGTCAAAGAGAATCATGGGCATGACACCATTTTAGCAGCATACGCAACGGAGACCCTCAAGCATAATTTTCCCCGTTTCTTCAATATCCCCTGCTGTTTGTCTCTGCAGGAACTACCGTTATAACTTATCGCGTCTCGGTGTGAGGTGAGCCTTAGTAGAATTAAATATATACACATCGCATCTGTCAATACAATTGTTGCAAAGTTCTGCAAAGTAAAAAGGAAACTTCACATCCACAATAATGTCAAACGCTGAGCTTTTTAAGTTGGCGTTGATCGTGTTGTGTTCGTTACATAACAAGCTTTTAAACCTAGCCTAGAATTAAGCTATACAATCGTGGGACATCTGTCTCGTTATAAATCTTTTAAGAGTCTGGAGTCTAGACTCAAGACAATGGGGGCTGGTCTCTTGAGCTTACCTCTTCACTGAAAAAGGGACAAAGTAGTAGTTTACATTTTTGCAGAAATATTGTATGCGACAAGCGGTTGCGTTTAAGATATTCGATATTTTTTTATATAGGAAGGCAAATAACCTTGGGATTCATTTGATGGTAGGTGGAATACCCAATCCACATAACATCTAAACAAGATGCGCCGTCGACCTATTTTGGCTTTGAATATTCGGAAATCCACAGACTGAAATCTGTCGTCATCATCTGCCGAATCAACGTCATCTGATGACGTTGGTGGACCCGTGCGCAATTTTGATATTTCTACTACCATTTTAAAATCCAGGTTTCCAGATAATGTCCAACATATTTAAGTATGTAGGTATTACTTTATATAGATATAGAATAGTAGTAGAAGTTGAGCGAGTAGTACGTTAATATTTAAGTCCTTGATAACCACAATTGCTACAAAGCATTGGACATGTGGAAACGTTTGTTACCCTTAGTATAATACGCTGGTTTTTAACATATACTAATATATTAATTCTGATTAATTAATAATTCTGAATTCTTGTTTGTTAAAAAACTTATTTTTGACACATACACTTGATGGCATTATATAATTTTTAAATCAATCTATTTAGACTGATTTAAAAATAAAAATGCTTGGGGTGTGGAGGAACCCGCTCTTACAAGGAAAAATATGTAGTGCACTAAAAGTAAATCAAGAATGTAAAATGAAACTTGGCGATAAAAGGAGTGACGGCGAGTTTATTGCCAGTTCTTCTCGTTCGTTCTACGCCCCTGATTTGAGAAGTGGTAGTAAATGTAAAGTTAGATTCTTTAAATATTTTGTGACGTTCATAAATGTACATTAGTTACCTACAGGAATAAATGTTTTTTGACTTTGACTTTGAAATAGAATGAAAAAAATCCACGATACGCGTGGGACTCAAACCAGCACCCATAGCGTTACATGCTGCTGCTCAGAGCCATTGAAGGTTGTTCGTTTGTTTGTTTGAAATTGGAAATTTGGAATTATCTCATCTTATCTTGGGTTGCCTGGAAGAGATCGCTCGTTAGCGATAAGGCCGCCCATTGCACTCCATATGTTTTGTATATAAGTTTATATGTTTTATTTTTATATCTTTGATGATTAACTAGCGAGAACCGTTTTTACGGTAATCAAAATTGGCCGAAATTTTGAGTTGTATCAACATAGTAATAATAATTAATTTTCCAAACAAAGTATAATAGATCAATACTTACAAGGAATGACTTTTTGGTTCTGGTTTTTGTGTAAATTAGTCTTTTTGGTTGCGTGTCTGCACGCGTGTGTTTCCACCTTCGTCGCCGTCTGAAACACAAAATTAAGTTAAAAAACCATATCATATAACATCCATTGATTATTCTATACACATGGCACACTCTGTTTCCTATGTAGGGATGGGCGGGTACATCTCGGTGCCTTTTTCACCGATCGTTTTTATCCACAATGCAATTAAAGATCATTTAAAAAAAGCACTTTAACGGTTTAAAACGCGATATATTTTAGTTAAACTTGTTTGAAAATTGTTTTTAACTGCGGCCTGACGTTGCAGCAGCTGTGGTCATAGGGAGACAAACAAGTTTAACTAAAATATATCGCGTTTTAAACCGTTAAACTGTTTTATTTAGATGTGTACTACTCGCGTAAACTACGGACAGTTATTAATTAAAGATCCTTCTTAGCTCTAGGTTAAACGCAAAACTTATTACGTTTTTTCCGAAATTCGAACTTAGGACATCTATTATTTAGTAGCTAATTGATAACGTATGCTATACGTAAATATAAAGGTAGTCCTGGTCACTTTAGACTGTGGAAATGGCATCCCTCGTCGTCTCTAGTGGGTAATAGCTATGCTATTAAGTATTGTCTGTAGTTCACACGAGTATTACACCTGTATATAAAATACTTTTAACGATTTAAAACGCGAAATATATTAGTTAGTTTTAGTGACGGACCGACGTTTTAGAAGCTTGCAGCAACTTAATATATTTCGCATTTTAAACCATTAGTGTTTCGTTTAAAAGGATGCTTTTATTATAAACTACATTTTAAAACAGCACACATGATAAATTGACTTTGCCTTTTCCTGGACTTTGAACCTAGGATTGGAACCCAGATTAAATACAATAATAAGTTGAAAATATCGCTTTAGCAAATAATAATAATGGAAGTGGGTAATACAACCGTCGTACGAGAGAAGGGCGCGTCTATCAATTTGGTAAAACTGAGATAATATAATATGCTAAAATCTATAATTGGAATTATAGTTTTTACCATATTCTGCTTCATAATGGGGGCAACCTATAAATATTTACTAATTTTATAACGAGTATAATTTGCTTGTTTGATTTAACGCAATGCATCGTAACGATTATTTTTTGCCTTTAGAGGTCCCTTCTTCCTCAACTTATTAATTAAAAAAATATCATCAGGTCACCCACCTCATTATCTACTCAAACAAAAAAGTTGAATTATTTACAAAAAAATCTTCATAGTGTTGCTGATGTATGACAAAAATGTCTATATTTGTAGTTTAATAGATTTAAATAAAACACTTTAACGGTTTAAAACACGATATATTAGTTAAACTTATTTGCGTTTTAAACCGTTAAAGTGTTTTATTTAAATGTGTACTACTCGCGTAAACTATAGACAGTATTTAGTTTAATAGATGTTAATTGTTAATGCACGGAAGAGCCGGCCACGACATAGGGAATCCTATTTTATGGAAAATAAAGAATTTGTATTGAATTTTTAAACGTTTCAGTGATAACATGCAACCCAGTTCCCGTTTAGCCAGAGAAGGAGAGTCCTTAAGTAAAAGTAGTGTTTATAATGAATCAGACATGTATACAACGTAGTGGATTGGTTAAATTAACGTTTTAAAAAAACGTAAATGCAAATTTTACTTGCGCAAATCGCGAAATTGAATTGAACGGCGCGCCAACGTAATTTCGCTCGGTTGCCGCTGAGCCCTTTGAAAATATACGAACATCGCTGAACAATATCCTTCATATTCGGGAATTTTCATGTTACACGCGAAATTATTAAAATTCAAGTATGCCAACCCGCGAGTATTAAAATGGAGACCCGCTGTGTGTACTCTACTAATAGTACATACTTCAAAAATGTTTTTAATTGCTTAAAAAAACGTTTACAAGGTAAATCTAAATTTATTTTATATTTTTATAAGCGTGTATATCTTATATATGTTTGTAATTACGTAAATAAAATGTAAAAAAAAAATATTAGCAAGGCAAAATGACCGTAAAAATATACATTCTTATAAACACATTTAATAATCTAATTAGAAAAGGAATACTTTATTATTTGTATTTTTGCTGCACGTTATGATACTATATGTATAAATTAAAAATTAAAACATTAGTTTAGATGTGGTACAAAATAGTAGTAATCTATACTCATATGATAAATGCAAAAGTAACTCTGTCTGTCTGTCTGGCTTTAACGACAAAACTACTGTACCGATTTAACTGGAATTTGGTATATACACAGAAATTCTAGAGCCTGAGAAAGGACATAGGCTTTTTAATGCCAAGAAGGGGTTGTTAGGGGTTGAAAAGGGGGGTGAAAGTTTGTATGGAAATACGTGGTTTTTGAAGCTAGAACAATGAAACTTTCTTCTTTGGCTTTTTGGGAATGGGAGTGGAAGTGGAAGTGGAAGTGAGAGTGGGAGTGTTGCGGCAAAGTAGCACTTACAACACAGATTGGCTTCCTTAAATGCACCCTCACATAAATTTACTAATTTATGTAAGGGCGCATTTAAGGCAGCCTACTTAAATAATTAATAACTCTATCCAAAGTCAGCATTCCACGCGGACGAAGTCGCGGGCACAGCTAGTCTAATAATAAAAGGGTTCGATCTTTATCGGTTCCAACACGTTTCTAAACAGTTTATAACTTTTCTGAAACATGTTGGACTTTGTCTGGAAATCTGGAATGGGTGGTAGGAATATTGAAATTCCGTCACAGATGAAACAGTCGTCAATTTTAATCGCTTTCAGTCTGTGAATTTCGCAACATCCAATGCTAAAATAGCGCATCTTGTTTACATGCATTTCACCTACCATCAAATGAATTTCATGTTTTCTGTCCTTTTCTATTATAAAAAAAAACTTTAACGGCTTCAAACGCGAAATATTGTAGTCGTGGTCACGCTTACTTTAAAGCATTCAATACGTCGGGCAATAGTAAAAATGAGTTAACTAATATACTTCGTTTTAAATCGTACCGCGAATAGTACATTTAAATAAAACGCTACAGACAATACTAAGTAATTGTTCCTTTTTATCCCAATATTAATCAGACCAAATTAATTCTATCGCAATCTGAATCGTGCTAATTAGGACCACCGAATTACTGCGGTGGCTTAGTACGTGTATTAACAGTCACTAACAAAGTTATTAGCGGAGAGCAATCAATGGAACGATCGGATTGGCGCCTCACAAAACTTCGAGAACAATTATTATTAAATGGAATTAGGGATTATTCAATCCCCTAAATATCTATACTATAAAGCTGGAGAGTTTGTTTGAACGCGGTAATCTCAGGAACTACTGGTTCGAATTGAAACATTAATTTCGTCTTGGTTAGAGCAATTATAGAGATAGGCTTTAGGCTATATAACATCATGGTGCGACCAATAAGAGCGAGGATTCACTGGGAATTGTGAAAGAAACTGGGAAAATTATTCATCGGAAACCCTTAATTCCGTTGCGTGAAAAATATGTATGAAAGAATGAGTCCTTTTTTAATGATCTAAAAAATGTCCTAAAAATGACGGGACGCGTCCGAGGTATTTGGTATTTGGTCTTTGATCTATAAAATAGCTTTAATTTATAAAGATAAGGAGGAGGTTTGCAAAAACAAATATTTTGAAAGCCAAAATAAGTATTCGACGCCGACGAAGTCGTGGACATAGCAAGTTTAACATACGAAATTCTCGTGGCACTTTGTTAGTTACTTCTCCGAAACGGTTCAACCGATTTTTATTAAAATTTCATATGTATATTCAGTAGGTCTCTAACATAAGGGTTATCTACAGCTAACATTGTTTTTTAAATACATTTAAATATAACACTTTAACGGTTTAAAACGCGATTAATATCAGTTAAATTTATTTGAAAATTATTTTAACTACGGCCCTACGTTTCGGATGCTTTGCAGCAGCCGTGGTCACGGGGAGACAGACGGCCTTAAATGTGTACTACTCGCGTAAACTATATACAGTATTTTGCTACTACCTTACAATTTATAAGCATTTGATATGGAAAAATCATTTCTATTCCAACTACTTATAGTCGTTATTCGGCTTATAAGTGACAGTTAGGGAAATGTACGTATGAAAATTCTCGTCGCCAATTTTCCCGGGCTGAGCCGTGACACATTTTGTGGGTAACTCGAACTCTCCATTCCATTAGTCCTCACTCAACTTGAATTTACGTATTAAGTTTTCTCTTTGCTCTGCGTTCGCACTATAGGTATTTGTAAGTGTTGGAAACTATGAGAGGAAATGCACAGGCTTCTTATTGTAATGATAGCAATGTGTCCCCACCGTGTCCAACGGTTTTATAATCTATTTATAGATTTTCTGTAACATGTTGGACCTAATCTGGAAATCTGGATAGTGAATGGGTGCTTTGAGTATCGAATTTCCGTCCGAATTAGAATAATCTCATGAACAGTAAAGTTCTATAACTTTTATGAATATTGTTACTAACCATTGCATTGAAAACACCTACCTTATACTTAAAGCAATAATCTTGTAATATCAATAACCAAAGCGTAACATGAATTATGTTTCTGTATTACTGTAAAACCGATTAGCATTCATATAATTTAAAAAGTAAAACTTTGAAATGTTATTTTATGTTAGTGCATACATGTAAAATATTAAATAAATAAATAAATTTTAGTCGCATAAAAATCTAACTGAAATTCCGTGCAGTAAATCAATGATCATATTTGGTTAATTAACCATAGCAAAAAAATGCATACACGAAATATGGCCCACAGATATCAAGTTTAAAATGAAAAAGAAAATCCAGTAATACACTATTATTGGGTTATTGCTCAGGGGCGTCGATGATGAAAAAGTCGAAAAGTTGAAACAGGTATAGGTTTCGGTCTATCGATTTCCGAATACCCGTATTAACAACTAGCTGTGCCAGCGACTTCGTCCGCGAGAATCGTTATTTTGAGCATCCAAATTTATTTTTGCAAACCTATTTAAGCTTATTTATTTATCTTTATAAATAATTTAAGTTGCCCACGACATCGGTCGCGTCCCGTCGTTCGGATCGCGGACTTTTTTTAGATCATTTTAAGAGGAATCATTCTTTCTTACATATTTTTTGGGCATCTTGAACCGTTTTCGTAGCGTACGCATCGGAAACCCATAACGATGAAAAAATTTTCCCATTTTTTTTTTACATTTCTCGCTGTACCTTCGCTCCTATTAGTGACAGGATGATGTTTCATAGCCTTCCTCGATAAATGTTCTAACCAACACAAAAATATTCGAACCAGTAGTTCCTGAGATAAGCGCGTTCAAACAAACAAACTCTTCAGCTTTATATATTAGTATAGATTATAGGATACCATTGCTTGTAAAAGCTTTACTTAGGCTAAATTCCATCTCATAAGTTACGTAGTATTAAAATTATACAAATGAGTGTATCTCGCAACCCGTAGAAATGCCACGCCATGCCATGCCATTATTAATTAGAATTTATGAACAGCTCGTCCCGCTGTGAAACTAAAAAGCTTTGACTCGACATTGTATTCCTGCATAAATATAGTACTTTGACGTCGAATACCGAAAAGGACTATTTTAAATGTCTAACTTAAAGATATTAAAAAAGGTTTTTTATTAAAAGAGGTTCTCTATATTATGGTATCATTGCAAAAATGATGAAAACTCTTTAACAAACACCTCTTTCTCACGATGTATTAACTTCTAGTGGGTCTATATATTTGTGTAGTGTAGTAGATTTTAGATTCTTCTCAGCATATATGAGACCGCTAGAGGCAGAGTAGCCTAACGGCAATTTTATGACTTGAGTTATTTATATTTTCATAGTCTAAAAATGTTAATCTACAATAGCACAGTGTTCAAAAATTGTTAATTTAATTCTTACACAAATAACAGTACAAATTCATTCTCGCTTAAGTTAAATGCGCATTTTTATTTTCCTCCTTATTGAAAATCATGATTTTTGTTATTAGGCCACTCTGAATCTAGCAGCCTCATATAATCTATATTGTGAAGTGTACGATTTAAATAAAACACTTTAAATGGTTTAAAATGCAAAATGTACTGATTTTTTCTGTCGGTCTTGCAAGCAGCTGCTGCACAGCATCCGAGACTTACATAAATAACTTTATCTAATACATTTCGTGTTTAAAAACGTTAAAGAGTTTTATTTATATAATTACTACGCGTGCAGACAGTGCTTAAGCGTAAGATATCTCTATCTATTATGTCTATATAAGAGCTAAATCGATTTCTCTGTGTATTTAATCACTTCACTTAAGTTAAGCCTTTACAAAGGTCTGAGGCGTTTTAATATTTCCTTTCATTTTGTCTTGTTCGCGAGCGCCTCAAAATTGTATGAATAACTTTAATTTCACAAACGCGGCCGGCTGACCCTTACAAACTTGACGAAGTTACAATTTTGACGTTGAGGTTGAGGAATATTGATAGGTTTATTAACAACACCAAAAGCGCTTCTTAAATTAGATTTTAGCAGACAACTTGTTACGAAAAAGACGCGTGAGCAGTCCCCGGTTCGAATCTTGTGCCCTGCAAGACTGAAGCGTAGAGTCGGTGGGTTGGTCTAATGGTACAAATTGTATGTCCCTCCATGACCACGACTGCTGAAGAATTGGAAACGTCGGGCCGTAGTTGAAAAAAATTGTAAAAGAGTAAGTTAAACAGTTCGTGTTAAATGTTAAAAATGTTTTATTTAAATTGTATAAATATTAATGAACGGGTTGTGATAATTACCCATACCAATAGGTATCAAATTACCTGAAGGTCCTCTAAAGTGTTACTTAACAATCCTTGATACGAATTACATATCACTAGCTGTGTCAACGACTTCGTCCGCGTAGAATAGGTATTTTGGGCAACAAAATTTATTATTATATTTTTGGGCATTACGTCAGAGCACGGAACGCTGACGATTTTTAAAGAATATAGATAACATTTCAGCTCAATCGTTTCTTTTTGAGTTTTTAAAGCGTACACCCACCGACATTTATAATCTATTTATGATATTTTAATCCGTGTAGATAACCTAAAATACTCCGCTGCTAGGTAGATACGTGAATTTACAAAAACGACTCCGTTTCAACTTTTGAAGTATGCAAAATGTCTTCTTTCCTAAGTCGTTTGCAAGTCCCCGGGCAGTTACTAACTTCATATGTCGGCGTTAAGTAACGCCACAGTATGTAAACAACAGTTGGACGATTGTTTTGCAGTTGAGTAAAAAAATTAGGAATTATAGATCCATTAAATATCATGGAAATATATATGAAGGGGGTTTCTTTAAGTTTTTTTTCTAACTGTGATTTATACACACACTTGTCAAATGTTGTTGAGACGGACTCATTGGTCTAATGGTAACAATCAACGGGTCGTCGGTTTGATCTCCGGTGGGGATCCACGACCTGTTTCCAATACAACCGACATGTTTCTTATCAATTTATAAATCTTCTGAAACATGCTAAACTTCGTCTGAAAATCTGAATATTGAATTGGTGGTAGGAATATCAAAGTTCCATCCGTATCACTAACTACCGTTCATATAGCAGTGAAGTTTAATCGCGTGTCGTTTTGTTCTCTTCTATCAAAAAAAAACGAACTACTAACGAAAAAAAACGAAGTTCTACATATGAAAATTGATACTGATACACATGAAATCATTTTTTAACAGTTAGATATGCGAAATATATTTTTAAACAATTTATTTTAACTCCTATCCTCCTATCCACAGCTGCTTCAAAACGTCAGAATCATTAGATTAACAAATCACGTTTCAAACCGTTACAATGCTTAATTTACCAACTGACTTTTTTAAGTACTGTGGAGTTTCTTAATGATGGTAGCCATTATCAAGATTATTCTTGGTGTTGAGCCAAATTGTCTTTCGCTGCAATGAACTATTATTCATTCTAAATTCAACGCTGAAATACGACACTTGGCTTCGTATTGATATAAAACACTTTTAACGGTTTAAAACTGCTTTGCAAGCGTCGTGGTCGCGGGCCGAAGTCGAAACATCGGGCCGTCGTTAAATCCATTGTGAATAAATCAACTAATACATTTCGCATTTAAAACGTAAGTATTGGCATATTAAAAGATATACAAAAATAAGAAGTAGATGATTACACATCGTCCAATAACGATAGACAAACATTAAAAGCAAAGACTAACTTCGACGTTAACAAGCTCGAATGTGCGAGACGAAAAAACGAGTAAGTTTATAATTTTCATTGTCTTTTTTTAATGTTATATAATTTAATAATAAATGCTAAAATGCTCCTAGTGTAATAATTTTTTCTAGTTTTTAATAAATCTATTAAATATTTAAAAAAATAACGGCGTAGTAGGAAATCGAACTCATTACTAACGTTCCTTGCATTTACTAAACGATTTAAACTAACGTACCCTACTTCTTTAGATTTTTTTAAATCCGCAGCGCGGAATCTATTTTTGTTTGGTTCGATTCCCGTACACGTCATGAATTTTTTTTCTTATTTCAATACTTATTTATTTATAGTTTACATAGTTTGCGATTTTGTTACCGCTATCAAATAATGAGGAAGCGGTCTTTGCGCATGGAACTCTAAAAGGAAAACATGGAGTTAACTTCTTCCGATGTGATTAATGAGAAAGATGGAGTACCAACCTGGAACTCAAGTTTGTAGAGAACAGGAAACTTTCGCCGCTGTTCACACAGCTTGGGGAAGTTCTTCAGCTCGACTGGCTTGTCTGGTATCGTCTCCGATACGGAACCGTTCTCGTCAGCTGTCAACAGAGAATTAATTTTTAATAGGCGCTAATTATTTCAAAGACATTTGCGAAAAAGCGTTATCGCTACATATTATAAAACAAAGTCGCTCTCTTTCTATCGCTATGTATGCTTAAATATATAGACTCGCAACGTATTCTGAAGCGGTTTTTTTAAATAGATAGAATAATATAAATGGACACATTACATAAACATTTATTAAATGAAGTTCGTAGATCATTTAACTAACACTTTGTTAAATAGAAAATTGTTCTTATTAAAAAAAATAACTTCGGTCCGACGTTCGAACCCGTGACCACGCTACAAAGCATCCGAATCGTCGGGTCCTAGTTGATTTTTTTTTGTAATAAGTTTAACTAATAAGTTAGACCCAATAATAGCTCCCATAACTGGGACTCGGGACTGCACCAACACGACTGGCTAATTAATTAATAACTGTAAATAATTAAAACTTTAATATTTTTCACGCGATGGCATTATAGAAATTTCAAATTTATTGAAATAAAAAAAAACGATGACACGGGCGGGATTTATACTTGCATTCGCGGATCTGACCTTTAATAAACGACTGTACCCGCGACTGGGATTAGATTACTTTATAATATACGTATAGATTAATTTAGCCTTTTCAGTTTTTCGTCTCGCTTCGCATTGTTCTGTATAATTATGTTCATTTGTATACACGCTGAACTTTGCATGAAATTAACTTGGAAAGTGTATTATCATTTACATTGTTTATTATGAAATTGCGCCGCGGCGCATCGGCGGCGCCCTTATTCAATCAACGAGGGACGGATGTGGGGCAGGCCGGCGCTAATTTAAAATTATTTAGCGAGCAAAATTTTCTACCAAGTAGGTACCTAGTTAGAGTTAGAGTGTAATTTTTACATTCTTCGCAGCATCTGAAACGTCGGGCCGTAGTTAATGTAATTTGTGAAAAGTTTAAATAAAACATTAAGCGTTTTAATCAGTTAAAAGTGTTTCTTTTTTATGTGTATTATTTGCGGGAATGGCAGACAGTACTTGGTATAATTTTTAATTATTCTGTTGCCGCAAGTAAGGTTTCGATACAGACATATAGGTTACCTCATCGCTTTTGTGTTTAGCACACTTTATTGCGGCTTCATGGTCGTGAGTTCGATTCCCATGGGTGAAATGACAGTTTGGTATTTAAACATTTTCTGATAATAGCAAAACTGTGCCAAATATTTACTTAAGTCCTCAAACAAGTCAGAACATATATACGAATCGAATTGAGAAGTTCTGTTTTTTGTAGTTTAAAAATAGCTATAAATTTTTTATATTTATTTATTTATTTTTATATTATTAATTATTATAATAAAATAAAATTTAAACATTAATTATTGTTATTCTACATCAATATTCTGTAGAAAACCCTAATATACAAGTTATAACCGTTCTCACTTAGTTTCGTGAAGTTATAAAGCAAACTCGATTACGCGTGACTTCAGAGTCCAGATGAGTTAGTATTTTATATGAGTTGGTCCAGTTTCCAACTAACTTTAACTGGGACATCGTGACATAGACAATTATGTCAACTGATTGGACTGGTGTTTGATGGTTGAAGTGACATGTACTACTAACATATGGACCACTAACAAACTAAAAGTAATTCCAAAGTAATTTAACACGCTCGTCTGACGTCCGTCCGACATTGTTCTAATCGATTTCTAATTTTTCTAAAAAATTGAAATAAAACACTTTAACGGTTTAAAACGCGATATATTAGTTAAACCTATTTGAAATTTATTATTATTAACTTCGGCCCGACGTTTCAGATGCTTTGCAGACTTCGTCTGGTAATCTTGGTATAAAATGGGTGGTAGGAATATCGAAATTACGTGGTCACGAACCACCGTCCACAGATAAAAAAGCCGTGAAGTTTAATCGCGTTTCGTTTTTAATCTGTGGATTTTCGAATATTTAAAGCCAAAATAGGTCGACAGAATATCTCGTTTAGGTATTATATGACTTATAAGCTTGTCTGTTCTCTAAAAAAAAAAAATACTATACTAATAATTATGGAGTTATGGACTAATAATTATGGAGTAGTGATACAAGCGAGATTTGAACCAATTAACCAGCCCACCAACCAAGGGGTGGTTGGTATATTTTTTTAGTAACATTGTCGACCGTGTCTTATAAATCAAAATTTGTATAGGTATGAAAAAAAACTATGAAATGTATGTTTGGATTTCAGCTCGAGCCCGTTAATTAAAAAATTCAAAGATAACAATAGGGCGACGGCGCATCTTGCCTGTCTGTCATGAAGAAGACATTGCTGCCTTTAGACCAACGAGACTGTCAGATATATTAGTATTATTAATATTATACAACTTGGATACAGCTTAATGGTCATTTCTGTATGTAAATAAAAATGTCTAAGCGTGAGCGGCAGATTGGCAGCAATTTACAATTTCACATTTCTATTGGCTTCGTATTGCGGCGAGTGGATGTTCGTCCGAATTCTGGGCTGAATATGTATGTCAAAAACATTCAGTGAATTTATGGTGAATTCGTTTAGAATTTTCCTGTCATTACAAATGCTTTTTACTATATTCAAGTAATATTTAAATAAAACAGTTTAACCGTTTAAAACGCGATTAGTTAAACTTATTTGAAAATGATTTTTAACTTCGGCCCGACGTTTCGGATGCTTTGCAGCAGCCGTGGTTACGGGGAGACTCATTTTCAAATAAGTTTAACTAATATATCGCGTTTTAAACGGTTAAAGTGTTTTATTTAAATGTGTACTACTCGCGTAAACAATAGACAGTGTTCAAGTAATATTTTATAATTCAAGTAAAGCTTTATGTGTATGGGGGCTTAAAAACCTTACAAGGGCAGGATTGAAACGGCATCCATAGTGTTGCGTGCTGTTGCTCTCACCAATTAGTAGGTAAGCTGCATAGCATAAGACATTAGATCTTAAAACCCACGTGTTAAGGTTAAAATTACATTGCGCGAAAGATGCCTGTATCAATACGTAGAAAAAAATCAACGATGACATATAAGACACAGTACCTCAGATGGTGAAAGCAACAACACGGAACGCTGTAGATGCCGTTTCAAGTCCTGTCTGTATCGTAAACTTAAAATCGATTTAAATATAACACTTTAACGGCTTAAAACGCGATATATGTTAGTTAAATTTATTTGAAAATTATTTTAACTATGGCTGGACATTTCGGATGCTTTATAGCAGTCGTGGTCATGGGGAGACTGTAGTAAGTTTAAATAATGTTTTTATTTAAATGTGCACTACTCGCGTAAACTACAGACTTAAATCGATTTTTAATTTACAAAAAATAATTATACTTTTAAAACAAAGATTAGATGGATCTAATCTTTGTTTCATCAATCAATCAAAGGGAGTTGAGATGGATCTCAACTCCCTTATCTGGTTTTGCGAAAGGGATCAACTAAGAGAGTGTCTACCACCTACAAAGTAACAACTTTCTAAGTACGAAGATAAGGGGCGAAGACAGCACCTCGAGAAATATTGTTAAACTTCAGCCGCCGTTTTGAAAATTGTTTCAAACTCGTACGAAATAAATGTTTTGCTTGTGGCTTTTTATTTCAAAACTTTTTCACACAATCAGTTTCGTCTTAAAAGTTTATGTTAAATATTATATTTACTTAAATTTCTATTCAAAAATCTATTTAAGTTCAAAAAAAAATTCACGATATGAGCGGTACACGAATTATCCACAGGCACTCATTTGAGCCACCAATTAAGCTATCGTGTATCATGCGTTTGTTTAAAAGCATATAATTTTAAACATTTAAAAAATACATTATTACCACATATTATGAAAGGACAATGGACGGGAGTCGTACTAAGTATCAATGTTTTTCTACTGATTCTTTTATCTTTAACATTCTAAAACTCGTAGCTTAAATTTGTTAAGAAATTCAGTGATTACGTGGCTCAATTGAGAGAGCAACGATAGCGCTGTTGGTCGTGAGTTCGTGTCCATACAATGTAAAGACAAATTTATAATACTTAAATTTTGAATTTGTCTGTATTTGGCAATTTTTTTTTTAATCTCCGATGCTGGTCGTGGTATTGTGCATTGTTATTTTGAATTTCTTATTTAATAATATACGAAGAAAACTCTCCCATAAAAAAAATATCGCGTTATGTTTAGCTTTGTTTAAACGCGCAAACCGGCTGTGGTTTGAAGCTTCTTTGTCATATAAACGTTTATATTGACATAGCAGAAACGCGGCCAGAATATATAAAAACAGTAACGCCACACGGTTTGTTTGTAAAACTTTTTTAATGAAATCCCATTTTAAGCTTTCAATAGCCGCGCTGTTGCCACGCTCTCTGTATCCGCTTACATTATGTTTGCATATGAATTACTCAATGCGTTAAAAAATAAAACAAATTTTCATTGTCGAAACTAAAACGAAACCAATATATCTAAAAATATATATAAAACAGTTATCGGTTTAAGCTGGAAATATATTAGTTAACTTTTACAGATGGCGCTAGCGTAACAGTTTTAAATAAAAAAAATAACTTCTGATATATTTCGCGTTTAGAACGCTTAAAAATGTTTTAAATGTGCACTACCAGCGCAAATACAGTATAAAACCAATAAAATAAAAATAATAGTAGATGATGGATAGAGAACAGATATCTCTTTCAAAACAAAAGAAAAATGTGGGACTCAGTGGGAACCAACCCACGACCCGTTGATTGTTAGCCATACATTGCCACCATTACACCACCCAGCTCTCGAAGAAGAAAAAGATCATTATGACATTGATGACGAAAGCGGAATGTATTGAAGTGGGAATCCGATATCTACAAGTTAAGTGTTCTTTGTGGAAGAACTTTGTTATCGTGTTCGTGTTCTCGGTTCATTATTATGAACAATACATTGATATCAAGGGTAAAATAATTAATTTCAGAGCTGTGTTGTAATAATGATTCAGTAATCTATACTAATATTATAAAGTAACT